TGACTGATTTTAATCACAACATGCTAATTGTTCCTACTTCTATAGCTTCCTCTTTGGAAGTTTAGAATAGAAAGGAAGTTAGTGGGCCTAAAAAAGTAGGTTAATTAGCATTCACAGTCAATTTTTACCTCAAAACGCAATCTTGAAATCAATTGTATATTAACATATGAACTAATTAAACTATTTAATTTTTTTTATACAAAAACGAAAACTGAAAAAGAAATTTTATGTTTTATCTTGATTTAATTAATAAAATTTAATTTCCGCTCCAAAGTTTTTTTAATTTTCGGCGGAGAACGCTTTAGATTCATGGCAAGCTAAAAGGCAACATTTATGACAAATCACATTTTCTGTTACATTGAAACATTGAAAACTAACAAAAAAAATATTTTTTTTTAAAAACAAATTATACAACTTTATGTAGGAATTTCTTAGACTTCAAAAAATTAAAACATCTGCTTAGTCAGGTCTAGTAAAAAAGATAATGTTTTCTTCGATAATATTTCATCGGTTTGACTAATTTTCGACTAATTTTCGTTGTTGACCTTTGGCATCAAATCTAATTTTCCGGATCCTGAACCGTCTTTGTAAACTTCCCTTGGGTCTGCTTGGATAATTTTTGCAGCCATTTTTTTTAAACCGAATGAGCACAAAAAACCGAACAAAAAATTGAAATAGATTTATTGATTTACAACTAGGATGTACATGGCAGCCTCTCTGATTTGATAAAGATATGGCCAAGAAACTTTTTTATCGAGCAAAAATGAGTTTTTTTTTTGCTTGGGGATAGCAATGCGAACAGTTGCTTTTGTTGACTAATTTTGATTTTATTCGAGCTTTATTTATTACTTCACTAACCCCCAGAAAAATGGCATGATGATTGTTCAAGGCTCCTAACAAGCTAGAATTTGGCTGTGGTTTGCCTAGAAGCTTACTTTGAATGTACTTTTCCATCTTCCGCCTTAGTGCTCAAAAATATTGGTTCAACTAAACATAGAAGAGAGCCTTCTGTTTGCAAAAAAGGCTCCAGTAAGTCGAGAAACTATTTTCAACATAACACACATTCGCAAAAATGTCAACAAAGCTCAAAAATAACGGCAACAATTGATTGATCAAATTAATCAAAAAAATTTGCTTCCTAAGAGTTTAAAACAAAATATCAGGTTGAAACAATTTGAATTTCAGATATATTTTATGATTGGCTTTTTTAATAGATGTTGATAGATTTTAATCGTACTATCATACTTTCACTTTGCTAATAAAAAGACAACAAGACTGCTCGTAACAGGGCGAAACCCTGAATGTTCCGACTGCCTTTTAAGGTTTATGGAGCAGTAATAACATTAAAAAATTCAATGAAATAAAAAAAAATGAATTTTTTTTTCTAAAATTTGAAATTTTTTATGAAAATCATCCCCCCACACGCCATATAAAGTACAAAAGGATAGATTTTGCTCCTTGTAATAAACCAATTATGGCAAATCAGCTTCTTTTAACTAATTTGGAACGATTTCTAAGACGGATTAACTCTCCGCTTACGCATTATTAGCGCGAAATATATCGCGCGTTAATTGTCCCAAATTGGCCAAAATTGCAATCTTTAAACCCCCGTAACTTTACGAAAAATGATCACAGGTGAAATATCTTTTCAAATTTGAGCTCAGGATAACAATACCTTTCGAATGATATAAAAAAAATTCGGTCAAAAATGGCTAGTTAAAAAGTCGAAATTTGTCTGAAGAAAAAAAAACCCACCCCGAGCACAAGTATTCCGTTACTTTCGTATCGAAAGTCGGAACAATAAAGAACGCACTTTAGTTGAACGGATGTACATTCATGCTGCTTAAGTAATTATAAGTAGAAACAGTTTGTAAGAAATTGCCAACTTTTCCATGCTGTGTCTGAAACCCATGCTGAGTCTAATCACATGACAGTTCTTGCTGTGAAAACATTATATATTTGCTGCTTCGAGTCCCGTTTGATTTTAAGATTTGCGAGGAAAATCATTTTTCAAAACTACTAGAGTCAGTCCGATCAGATGACAACCCAAAGACTAGGTTCACTGGGAAAAATTCATGTTTCTTATCAGTAGCGGACTGGGGGGAGGAGGATTTGGGGAGCGGTTGCTTTTTTGTACTATTTTGAGATATCCATTTTTTCGCTGACTGACATGAAAAATTTTCTAAAGTCTTAAAATCTATACTAATTTTGAGGGGGAAGCGCGCGCCGAAAAAACGCAATTTTTGTTGTCAAAATTTTCCAAAAGGTGCCTAAAAACGCCTTTTTTCAAAAGTTTGCCTTCAGCGCACAAATTTTAATTAAATTAGGGTCTTTATGCTGGTTTGGGAGAGCTCAGAAAATCAATTCGGTCGACCTAAAAAAAAAGTCGGCAAAATTTTTCAAATTTTTTTTTGAAAATCCGCCCCCCTCGAGAAATTCCTAGATTCGCGCCTGTTTCTTATTACTATCATTATCGAGCTTCAAACTTTGACCCTGTCAGGTTTGGCAATGATTTTGCCTCAAATCAATTCTCACTGAGTTGATCAAAAATTCTGATAAAGACTACTCCTGTCTCGAAAATAATCATTGGTTTATAATTTTTTACAATCAAATCTGCTTAAAAATTGATTTAAGAAACAGTAGCATACATTGAACACGTTGCAAATGTTGAAAAACTTGGCAGAAATCAAGCAGAGCTCAAGGCTCACTATCAAAAATTAGTAATCATTGTGAAATTTTAGACAAGAGACACTTGGAAACTATTATATCTTACGAAAAGCAAAATACCTTTTTGTCAAGTGTTTTCCCTGAGTTTTTCGTCAATTTTATTGTTAGAAGACAGTAATTGGTGTAGTTTTATTCCAAGACAATTTTCAAATTTTTATCTAGTCCTTTATCAACGCATTTTTGGGATAGTTTAATGCGTGATAGGTTTCTCATAAGTAGCGATTGGATTCAGCTGGGATCAGCCGCCCAATTCCCCCCGCTCACAGACCTACCGAATGCCCTCCCAAAGTATGTATTAATTCTGAAAAAAAATCTGTCTAAAATATTTCATATAAACGCGCAAATAAATTTTCTTAACAATTTTATGAGATTGCATTTGTATGTTGTTAATTACACAAATTCATGTCTCAATTCACTTTTCTTTAGCAATACGTTTAGTTTTGAACAAATCTGGGCTTTACTCAAAGTTAGCTTATGAAAAATTTTTACGTTCTCCCCTTAAATCAATTGGGGGGACAATTGTACGGTTGATTCTTCGGCTGTTCTGGGATTCGATCCGGCTGTTCCATAAGTTGCATTAATTTGAATTAAGGCAAGCTAACTGTCCCGACCATTGAAAATGGGGGAAGGACTTTGTATTCGGGTGTGTTTCATTTTCATTTATTTTTTGTTTTCCACGCAAAATCACCTACCACGAATTATCATCGGACAGGGTTGAGTGATACATCATTTTAAAGCCCTTTCAGTCGTAATTTGAACGACATTAAAAAATTTTCCCAATATTGAGGAAAACCGTTTTGCAGTTTTTTTATTTTTAGTCCAATTTCAAGCTAACTAGTAAGGTAGTTAGTAATTCAAAAAATTTCCGCGCAAAAATTTTTAAATTTTTTTCAATTTTTTTTTCGTTTTTCTAGTTTTTTTTAAAAAACTGTTTTCCAATTGACTTATTTTACGATGACCCTCAAATATGCCTATGTTCTTTTTTTTTGTCTGAACAACCTGTGCTATTTGCACAGTAACCGGCTCTCCTTGGTGATCGTATGAAGAGGTTAGTAGACGCTAATTGCATCAAAATGAATAAATTACACATGAGTTAAATCAATTCAACGAGCTCTTTTTTATTGAATTTAAAAATATTTATCAATCTAATTATGCATAATATTTTGGTTTCTTTGGTAATATTGACAAATTTTTTTCTAAATTTAGTGGTTTGCTTGTAAAAGTTGATTTTTTTCTGTTTTTCTGCTCTTGGTCCCATTCTGCTCTTAAACCATTATACTTATTGAGTGGCCACCTGGGTGAAGATATATTTCACATACGCTGTGCTGTGTTAAGTACAAAGCAATGAGTTTAGCATGTACTAACGCATTTAAAGTTTTCAATTCAATTTGCAAAAAATTTTGAGCCCAATTTATTGTTCAATTTTGCATTAATCACTCTATAACTTGCGCTTAGGTATCCTAAAGTTGCAAAATAATCATTTCATTTTTCAAATCCCCATAGTTTAAGTAAGTTTAACCGCAGCTGATATATCGTTTTCATTTTCAGCACAGATCATCAATAACTTTTGGACTGTATAAAAAAGTCCGTCGAAAACTGCTGGTTTAAAAACTTCGAAGTTTGTCTGGAGAAAAAGATCACCCAGAGTACACACTTTCCGTCATTTCCTTTGGAAACCCAGGCAATTAGAAAAAGGACTCGTAAAAAAGAACGTAGCCAACTAACAGTTGGAAAAGAGTAATGAACGCAAGGAAACTGAAAAAAAAAAACAGACTTAATTTTTCATGAGACTTCAACTTTTGAATTTCGAATTTAGATGGCCATGAAGCTTTTTGAATTTGTAGGAAAATTTATTGTGGACACTTTTTTATTAAAATTAACCCAATTTGAGAAAACTGGTTTAATAGGTAAAACTTTTATTTCGCTGGGAAATCTGGTAATTAATTTCCATTTTCAAAATTAGAAGTCAATCACGCTTTTCGTAACCTTTACACTTTTCTTGTTCGATAGTGGAGTTTGCCTTCTTTTAAACAAAAGAAATGCACTGAACTTAAAAAGAAATCACAAGTCAAACCGCGAAAAATCAAAACTGAACGCGAACAAGTTTTAAGACTTTTTCCTGAAAAAAAAAACAGAAAAAAATCAGCAATACCTGTATAAGAGTCCTCACTACGTCTATTACTCTTAATAAATGAGCTAAAATGATTTCTTACCGAGTAAGTGTAGACATAATAAATATGACTTTTACGCAATTCGCAGCGATTAAAAATAAATTTAATCTGAAGCTTGAATTCACTAAAATATAATCCATAATTCATTAATAGGTATTATTCCAATTTAATCATTGCAAAATTTATCATTAAAAGTTATCTAGCTACAAATTGTACAATTCTTGGAAAACGAATCCAATAGACTGAAACATATCTGCAATAACTTACAAACTTAAAGGCGAGCTGGGCAAAAGCAATATCTCAGCGATGCATTCAAGTGACATTCAAACGAAGAAACTTGTAGCACGCTGGTTCCTATGACACAAAATCCAGATACTTTCTGGTGCTTCATTAATCAAATCGAAAATCCGTAACGATTACATAGACAAATGTTGTAAACAGAAACATGTTTATGAATGAACTCTCAATTAAAGCTTCACTATTCTTGGAACTACATGATATGAATCTACTTGAAGGTTTCCCTTGAAGCGACCAGCTTGTTTCGGAATTTGTTTTACAATAAAGCGCCATAAAAAATTCCTTGAAAGCCAAAATGAAACGATCTTTTCAAATATCAACAAATATGAAGAAAACAGTTGATGATTTGCTAACTGATTTGATTATTAAGTCCTATATTCCTCGTCATATTTTTACGGTTCCCAACAGTTCCATCCAATGCAGACCTTTCAACCCCATTTACTGGATTAAGTTGGGTTAGGTATCTACTGTGTACTCATTTCACGCCCCCTCCAGTAATGTTTAGACTGGCTCCCCCTGTGTACCTGAAGAACAGAAAATAAAGAGTTATTTCATCTGAAAACGACAATCAATGAGACATACGCAAAGGACACTTCAAATAGAAAAATGAAAAAAAAAACATTGAAGATGCATGAAACCAAATACCACTCTTTTTGCTTCCCTGTAAAAAAATTGGTCAACAATTTTCTCAGCACCTCAAGGATTCCATCCCACGCCAAAAATACAGCCAAACGACAGTTGAAAAATTGTCAATGAACTCAGGGAGACCGAATAAACATGGCTAATTTTTTTTGAAAAACTTACAAGAATCTTGTTTATTAGCAATTTTGGTTCATAAAAATAACTTAACTAGAGAAAACTGGGTCAAAAATAAATTTTATATTCAAAAATAAATTTTATATGAAACTAAAAATCAATCAAATTTGTTTTGCACTTTCGCAATTCGAGAGCGTACTTTGCCTTGCTTTTGGTAAACTAATTTGAATTGAGCTGAATTGAGTCCAAAGTCAAACAGCGAACCAAAGCCAAATTTGAACAAAAATCAAAAGTCAGAAGTCAAAAGTTACAACACTTATTGACACTTAACCGCAAGAAATCTGCAAGTCAAATTATCCGCTCTGGTATTAGGGATTTAAGTTTTTCAATTTAAAAACGGTAGCTGCAACGCTAAATAAAAGGAAAAAGAGGACGTACCGAGGATGCCTGTGTCGGTTTAGAGACCCAAAATTGCCCGCAGAGGACCCGTAAAGAGATCCGCTGTGGTTGGCCCCCTTATCCCAGGCAGCATAGGGGTGCTGTCCGAACAGTTCCAGTTCCAGCTTTGTGGTGCCTAGATGCCTGGAAATGGAGCTGTCCAACTTCTGCTTCACCTGAAACATAACATGATAATTTCTAACATCGAGAAAAATTCTAGCGAAAGAAACTCAATTTTCGTCTAGACTAAGTTTGAACCATTAATGTGATGCAGAAAAAGAAATGGTGTCAACAATGATAAATAACTTTATTTTCAAGGCAGAAACGTATAAATAAGCATTGTATAAAACTGCACGTTTTGCGATTAAATTCGGCTTCGGCGAAGAACAAAAAGCATCAGCCTGTCAAATGACATCTCCATAACAATACTGGTCTTTTAAAAGTACAAAATTTGCAGCAAACTGGTTCAATATCATTTTTTCGAATGCCCAATTAATGATAACATCCTCTTCAGTCAACGGATCTGAACGAGGTTAATTAACCTTGAAAAGCTCTTTTTGATGTCGAAAGCCAATTACTCTAAAAAATATTACTTTATGGCCAATTAAAAAGCTCAAATCAACGATATTGCTAAGTAACAATTCGACATGAACTATAAAACTTGACCGCATTATGAACTGATTTCCGAATTGCTTGCTTAATGGGATCCGTTATCTCGTTGGTGAATGTTAAACCTTGTTAATCCATGTACAAAAATAGGACACACTTACCCTCTCTAAGACTGCGTCGAACTCGCTGCTTGTCCTGAGTCCATGAGCATGATGTGATACAGGGGTGGATAATGTGTGACCTCCAGCAGCAGCAGAAGAAGAGAGATGATTGAGGTTGAGGTAGTTCCTTCTACTGTTACTTTGATTGACAGCTGCTGACTGGGACAGATGGGAAGCGGAAGACACGTCAGCCGTTCGCTGTCTCTCCGCACTGAAACATGACATACCACACTGAGCGCTTTTTACATTTGAGGCCACGGTGTAAAAACTTATGACATCGTTTTTTAAACATAGCAAACGGACAGTTGGAAAAGAGTCATTGAACGCAAGTAAACAGATTTGTCTTTTTGAAAAAATCAACTTTCGAATTTCCACGAAAAATAAGGTTACCCTGAAGCTCTTTGAAATTCTAGAACAATTTACTATTGGCACTTTTTTGATAAATTAACCCAATTTGAGAAAACTGGATCAATAGGTAAACTTTATTTCGCAGGGAAACTCGATAATTAAATTCCACTGTCGAAACTAGAAGTGAACCACGTTTTTCCTGACCATTACAATTTCGCTGTTCGATAATGGAGTTTACCTTCCTTTTAACAAAAGAAATGAGCTGAGCTTTAAAAAAATCAAAAATAAAACCGGGAAAAAGAATATTTGAGCATAGAGTTTTTTTTTGTCTTAACTGGTCCTTTTGATTTGACTTCGAAAGCTATTGACAAATTTTATCTGAAAGCTATTGACAATCTGGACTCAAATTTAAAAAAGTAACTCGCCTGTGGTCGCTTTTGATGAAACTATAGGGGTTGAAAATTGCCAATTTGGGACAATCAACGCGCAAAATACTTCGTGCGATAAACGCGATAATCTTTTTGCCTGTGAGGTGGAAAATTGAAAAAAAAATCTGTTAAAATAAATTTGAGTTTAAATTTCAAACTTAAAAAAAAAATTTCAAGGGGCAATCGGAACATTCAAGATTTCGCTCTAACACGAACGATCTTTGTTCCTCCAATTTTTGAAAAAAACTGAAGAATATGTGCTTAGCGTGTTTTTTTATTCAGGCCAATTTATGAAGGAAAATTGTAGAGTGGGTATCGAATTTATGATCTCCGCACTATGCTAACTGCGCTTTCAGTCAACGTAAACATGCTCATTAGATACTTTGAAGACTTTATTTATGACTGAAAGGGTAACAAGAATTTTTATCCCGAACAAAATTGTTCCGAATTGAATCAGGCAAGCTAATTGGTTATACTAGTTCCTTATACGACTCAAATTGTAACACTTAATATTCAATATTGATAAAACCAAAAATTATAGTTCATCCAAACTTTCTTTATCAAAAGCTATCGGAGACCATTTAAAGGGCAGTCGAAAAAATCAGGGCTTTGCACTGAATTACGAGCAGTCTTGCTATACAAGCTGATTTAAATTATCCGGACAAAACAAATAAAACTTGATAATTGAAACGCGTTTTTCTCAAATTGGGTTGACTTAAGACAAACAATGATGCAGACACAACTGGCCTAAAATTTCAGCAAAATTAAAAAAAAATCAATTTATTTTCATCATCCAAAAATTTCAACCAAATAGACCAGTTTCGGTTTTCTTTTATCAATCAAAAAATACGTCAAAACTTTTGGTTCAAATGCTAACAAAAATATATCAAGGTAAGCCTCTTATATAGCCCATCAAAACTCAAAACGGGTAGAATTTAATTACGTTTGATAGCCAAAAACTGTCAATTTTACTATATAAAGTAACAAGTTGAAAAAAACAAATTTTAGACGTTTTTCGCCAACATATGGAGATTATACCTTTCTTACATTTTGTTGTTGTTAGGCTATATAAAAGGCTCACCTTGATATACTTTTGTCAGCAAGTGAACCAATGGATTCGGCCTAATTTTTGTTTTTGCCGAAACTGGTTGTTTTTGGGGAAAATTTTGGGCCCGAACTTCGCAAAAATAACTGCACCATATTGATTTTGCTGAAATTTTGAGCAATTTTTGACTTCATCATTTTTTGTCTAAAGTCAACCTAATCTGAAAAAAAAACGCGTTTTAACTTTCAAGTTTCATTAATTTTGTCCGGACAATTTCAATCAACACTGTATTTAGTGTCCACTAAATGGCAGTGCGTCTGCTAAAAATGGGCTTAAATTTGGTGACCTTTATGTTGAGACAAAAAGTTACAATAGTCTGTCACTTGAAACACATTCCAACACCTGGGGAATAACTTCCCCAAATCACAACCACAGACGATTGCACACTCATCAAAGGCTACTGTGGCAAATGCATTAAACTTGGGGTGAAAAGACGCGAGAAGAGAAGGAAAAGAAGATACCAATTCAGTTCAGGTTGCCATCTAATCCCCGCAATTTAATCGGGCTGTGATTAAATTCAGACTTTGATAGTATGAAATTTATCTATTATCGGTTCTGAAGATGAACAAGAGCCTTCACGCCTCGCTTAATTCTTTTGATGCAAATCGTTATCATGTCAAGTTCAGGTTATCGATTTATTTTTTTTACACTCAAAAAGAGAAAAGATATTAAAAGTTGTTGTGAAGTTTAATAATTTTCATGTTTAATTTTGTTCAATTTAACGTCAATTTTTTCATATATGAAAGTTACTCAATTACTCTCTACTGCATGCGGGGTTCAAAACAATGACCTCCAAATTGCAGCTCATTTAGCAGCAGACAAATTGCGATACCATTGTGCAATTAATACGCTCTGAATAAGCGGTTATAGACTGTTCGCAATCTTAAAGTCTGAACAAGACTGATAGTATCAAGGCGAAGTCCTGAATGTTCCGATTGCCTTTTAGGGTCTATGGAGCAGTAATAACATGAAAAAATTAAATGTAGAAAGAAGAAAAAAAAGTGAAAAAAATTTCTAAAAAAATTTGAGATTTTTTGTGAAAATCATCCCCCCACACGCCATATGAAGTAGAAAGTGATAAATTTCGCTCCTAGTAACAAATCAGCTATGACAAATAAGCTTTCTTCAACCAAATTGGAACTATTTCTAAGAAAGATTAAATCTCCATGTATCGCGCGTTAATTGTCCCAAATTGGCCAAAATGGTATTCTTTAACCCCTCCATAACTTTACAAAACTTTAAGCGCAGGACAACAATACCTTTTGAATGATATAAAAAAATTCCGTCCGAATTGCGAAATGACTAGTTTAAAAGTCGAAATTTGTCCGAAGAAAAAAAACATACATACACCCATACACCCAGCCCCCCCCCCCCCCCCCCCGCCTTCCGAGCACAACTACTCCGTTACTTTTGATACGAAAGTCGGAAAAACAAGGATAGCCGTTTTTTTCTACAAACATTATGTTTTGTATGCGGGGAGTGATGAGACAATCTATACCAGCGCGAAGAAAGATAGTGAATTAGGCATAAATTGCCTTAAAAGGCCAAACTGTGAAATGGATAGAGCACAATTTGATGTCTGTATGTCTCTGAGTCCAGACACAAGTCATTAAACAAATGATAAAAGTTTTCGGAACGATCAAAGAAAGCAAAAGAACAAAAAACACGACCTTGTTGCAGAATCTGCTTACAATTCACAAAATACACAGTTTGGCCTCGTAACGTAATGTGTCTTAAAAAAAATGAATCATAAAAAAGATTTTTTTTTCCAACTTTTTGTAAACTTTTTTTAGAAATTTTTAATTGCTATAGAAGCGCTAAGTGAAGCTTGCAAAACTAGTTTTCTCTTAAGTAATATCAAGTTTTCTTAAAAACTAAATAACCAATTTTCTTATGCCGAAAATTACTCGATCACTTTACTCGCCCGAAATTAGACTAAAACCCACAACATCACAATGGTTTTTCTCAAAACTGATAAAATTTCCAAAAATTTTAAAACGTTTGAATCACGAGTACAAGTGCTTGCCGAAGAGAACAGAAAAGATTGACCGGAGAATAGCAATATGTAAAGACCAAATAAAGACTCTAATGACTGATTTAGCACTATGACAAATATGATATATCACTCAACCCATTCCGATTATTATTTGCAGAACCTGATATCTCGTGAAAAACTAGAGCAAACCCTAAGACAAATTTCCTCCTCATTTTCAATGGCCGGAACAATAACTCAAAATCAATCTATTAATAACTAATCAAGCTGCTTATGCAAAAAATTGATATAATGCATACTGTTGTGTAAAGGTCCTGCATAAACATGTTATTTAACCACCTTTAGTTTTCAAAAGTAGACAATTATACCATCGCGTGCAATTGAAGAATGTCTCCATTCACTTTTAACTGAACTTGAGCTCAATAGAAAAAATCAGACCAGTGTTTGTCATCACTAAGACAACACGAATCTATGACAACATGAATTGATGCGATACTTAAATGGAGCTTTATATCAGCCTACTTATCTTAAATTGGCACAAAGTTGGACGAAAACAAAATCACTGCGAACAGCGTCGGATCTAGGATTTTTAGCGAGCGGATTTTTCGGCTCGGCGATCTTCCAAAAATTAGTGCATACTGGCGCCTACTGCACCTTTAGAAAATACTTAAAGCTCGATCGGCCCTAAATGGATATCATAAAATAAATACCAAAAGGGGCCCTTTTAGTGGTTAGGGGATAGAATCCTTGAGGGAAAAGGTTAGTCCGTCCCAAAGCTCGCTCCACCCCCTAAATCAGCCCTGCTGAAAAACCAAAAATCACAAACTATTTTTAAATCCTTCTGTGCATAAAATATCTATACTTTGAATAATGTTTCTTCTTGCGCAATTGATTGATATCTTTCAAGTTAAGTAATTCAAATAGGCGATCATAATTTGGAATGAGTGAAACTAAAGAAGCGACCGGACACATATAGGGCAACACAATCCACAGTAACCGCCAGCAAGGGAAAAAAATGATCTTAATATCCACTCAGCCTAATCAGCCATGAATCTGCACCGCAGTCTACCTACACAAAATAAGTTCACTAATAAAAAAAACCGATGATTTGAATCCGTTTCAATATCCTTCATTCAAATTTTGTGTTAATTTTTAATTTTTCTGCGTCAAAAATTCATGCCCAAAATAAAACAAAACGTTCGCTGCACTAGTTTTTGTCTGTTAATGATAACATTTTCGCGAAACAAAACATCAAATTTGTAAAATTGAGTTGGAAACTGAGACTAAATGAACATAGCCAACAGACTGTTTGACAAGAACCAATGAAAGCAAAAAAAAAACGACTTGCTTGTTGAAAAAAAAAAACTTAAAACAAAAAAAACGTATGGCATCAAAGCTGTTTGAATTTTAAGAGCAATTTATATTTAGCATTTTTGATTAATTTAACAATTTTTGAGGAAGTTGATCACGTTTTTTCGCACCTTTTCAGTTTTCATTATTGCATTATTCGACAGCGCATTTGCCTAATTTCCAGCGATTGAAAGTCAGTTGAACTCAATAAGTACACAAATATCTAAGGGCATTCATATTTGCATTTATGAGCATGAATGTATTTCTTTTGTCATTAGAGCATTTTAAGACTTTTCCTGAAAAAAGACAAAAAAATCATCACAACCTATATCAGAGTCTTAACAACGTTCATCGACCCTTAAAAATTAAAGGTCTTTAGGCCAAAACACAGGTCTTAAAAGTGTCAATGTTGCCTCAACAATCGCCATTACAGGCCAATATTGCCATATTTTAACCCTTACTTCGCCGCCTAGTAACACGGGTTGACCATTCTAAAAAAAATCATCTATCTTAGAACTTCTTATAAGATTTGTAGGAAATTGCCGTTATTTCAGAACTTTCTAATAAGAAAACTTCTACGATAGCAATTTTTTCCAAAATTCAAAAAAATGCAGAAAACATGTTCAATGTGTTTCTGTACCGTAATAAATGATAAAAACTACTTTTGGAAATACTTAGTTTTTTTTAAAAAAAAATAATGCATGAAAAAAATTCAAGATAGAGGTTGTAACGTATGCATTTCGAACAAAATCTTCCGAAACAAAATTTTTTTTTTAGTTAAATCTCCTATTTTCGAGGCACTTAAAAATCAACTATGACGAATCGTGTCATAAAGCTGAATGTCATCGTGTCATCGGGTCAGAAAATTTCTGATCTTACAACTTTCTCATAAAAAAGTCACTATCTCAAAAAATCCTTATAAGAAGAAGTCCCTATCGTGTAACACTCCTAGATCCTAACTTTGTAAGTTGTAAGATTCTTATAAGAAAAGTTCTAAGATAGCGACTTTTATTCATCCTAGGTACGCTTTTGCTTGGTGCATGGATCTACCCCTAGACCAGCCCATATACTGAAATTTTTCGAATTAACCGAAGTTCAACAACTTTAATTTTTTGGTTAAAAACTACTTGCATTAACCACTATCTGTAGTAACTAGAAATTATGCTTATTTTCAGGTTGAACTAAAAAAATTTAACGCGTACCAATTTTACAAAAAAGGCATTGTCAAATTAAATTTTCGTCATTCGTAGTGTTGTTGCTTCAACTGTGTTACATAATAGAAAAAGCTTTTTTAAGTGGCCTTGAAATTTTATTTTCTTGGGGAAATGATTTTTTTTTTGAATTTTTTATCGAATTTTTATTGACGATAAATTGAATTTTAGGTAGGTGTAGGATAATTATTGCGGTACAGCTTCAAACAGTAGTCTTTTTAAAATGAAACAAGGTTGTTGTGCAAGTGGTAAAGAATTTTCCGACCACTGAGTACAATACCGTGTTTGGACATTATTTATTTGAATGTTGTTGTTGTTCCGACTTTCGATACGAAAGTAACGGAATATTTGTGCTCGGGGTGGGTTTTTTTTTTCTTCAGACAAACTTCGACTTTTGAACTAGCCATTTTTGACGGAATTTTTTTTAATATCATTCAAAAGGTATTGTTGTTCTGAGCTTAAATTTGAAATGATATTTCACCTGTGATCAGTTTTCGTAAAGTTATGAGGGTTTAAAGAATGTCATTTTGGCCATTTCGACCAATTTGGGACAATTAACGCGCGATATAATTCGCGCTATTAACGCCTAAGCGGAGATTTAATCCGTCTTAAAAATCGTTCCAAATTGGCTGAACGAACCTTATTTTCCATAATTGATCTGTTACAAGGAACGAAATCTATCTTTTTGTACTTTATATGGCGTGTGGGGGGATGATTTTCATTTAAAAATTTCCAATTAAAAAAAAATTCGTTTTATTTTATTTAATTTTTTTATGTTATTACTGCTCCATAAACCTTAAAAGGCAGTCGGAACATTCAGGGCTTCGCCCTGACACGAGCAGTCTTGTTGTTCTTAAGATATGTATGGATCTCTTTAACAATTTACCCCCCCCCCCCCCCCCCAGGGTACCTAGTAACGATCTGCCACCCCTATACAGAAACAATTCAATGGTTAAGCATATGTAAATTTGGTACCTAGTATCGAGTCTCCCCTTTTGCAAAAGGGCGAAACAGTTAAAGAGATCCGTTATGTATATTTCTGAAGTTACATTGAGCGGCAAGGCTGATTCTTCAACAGAATTTCTGTTTCTGTTTCGTGCATTATCTTAAAAACCCGGTTCTTCAAAAGTGAGCTATATACATTTGGCCTTCAATACTTTGAGAGTTAAATATAACAAATTTAACTATCATGGCGAATTATAAGACCTGACAAACTACCAAGTTAATATCGCAAATTCAAAGGCATCACACAGTTTATTTGATCCAAGTTTTACACTGACGAATTCCCCAAATTAAATGTCGACTTATTTCGAATTAGCTTCTGAGCAGACATCAAAATTAATCCACTTTGTTTGCTTTGATGCAAATTGATGCAACGTCATTGATGCAAATTGAAAAAACACAGTCAGTCATGGTATGAAGTGATATCGTGTGTCAACTTCACCAAAAAAGAAGCCAAACTCATCCATTTTATTTTCTTTTCTTATGCTGCTTCGTAGAATACTAAATGGCACTCAATTATTTTAATGATTTTTCCCCTCTTTTCCCAGAAAAAATCCCTCTTAAATAAATTGAGGCATGAGCTGCAGTTTCACTATTTATGGAAGAAAATAAGGAGCGTTTTGTCTAAGGAAAAACATGTTGCACAAATTTGAATTTTACACAGGCGAAGCGGAGCTTCGCATCACTTGCGATACAAAACAAATACAAAAAAAGCACTAGAAATTTGAAAAATGTTGAAAAAAGGTCGTATAAAATGTCTTGATAAAAGAATATTCTAGGCAAAAAGGCCAAGCAAAACATTTGAACATTAAATTAGTCCTCCTGAAACTACAATGAACAACACTTGCAGCTATAATGAAATCCGTGATGTGGCAACTACGCCGAAAAAACTTGAACAGACAAGCGCAAGTCCGACGATTCGATTTTTACCGTGAAAAATTTCCATTTCATCCATACTGAAAAAAACTCGAACCCCAGGCATTAGAATACAAAGGCGACTACGTTACCAATTAGCCAAATTGGAAGAAGTGTTAAGCAAGGTTCACTAACAAAGCAAGTAAGAAGAGAAGCAATCAAGATTTATAGGAAAAGTTGTCTACGGGGGAAAAGTATAGTTCCCGATTATAATCAGGAATTAGACTTTTTCCCGTAAACAACTTTGCTTATAAATCTTACTTGCTTTATCACTGAAGATTAGTAACTTCCAGGCTCGTTACCATTCAGCCACGAGGTAACGTGGTCGCCTTTCGCTAAGTTAGCCTTAAAAGCGAAACATTCAAACTGTCTTTTTGACCGAAAAAAGGGCTAAACAAAACAGACCCGAATGAGAAATTCCGCTCCACCTTCTGTGGCTCGACCAATATAAAAGAAGGTTGATTTTTAGCTCGAATCGAGTTATATTATCGCAAAGTAATAATGAAGTTCCAACTGCAGCTTCAAAAATAAGATCCACTAACACAATGTTCTTTCTTTAAAAATATAGCTGAAAAATTTGTACTAAGTAATTATGAACAAAGAAAAAAGATAAAAACATTAACACGATTTGTGCTAGAAAAATCAACATTCTTTTATTTTGGTCGAGTCACAAAAGGAGATGAATTTTGCATTCGGGTCTGTTTTGTTCAGCCCTTTTATTCTTTGCAGAATATCTGAAGCTGCAATGATAAAAAAGACAGTCATAAAAGACAGTCAGAATAGTTCGCTTTTGAGGCTAATTTAGAGCGAAAAGTCAATCCTTATTGATTTTCAGACATTCGTTACATCAGAGGCTACACAAAATGCCCTCTTTGATATAGTTTGTTCAATAATTAAACAAATGTTCAAATGTTTTTGATTGACTGAAAGAAGCCAAAACTTACCCATCCTTTGAAGGTGACCAAAACGATGAATCTTTTCAGCTTTAAAGGAAACAAATGTATCCCTTTAAAGCTCTACAATTTTCCAGAAATTTTTATCATGGACAAAAAACAACATGGACCAACACATTCCTTTGTATCTAAGATAAAAACTAACCCAATTTGAGACTACTGAATGAAAAGAGGATTTTTTTGTTCCGTAGGAAAACTCAAAGATGAAAATCCAAGTTGCAAACTTGAACTCATTCAGTTTTTTGTGCCATTTGAACTTCTGTTGCGGCGAACAAATGAATTCAGCAAATTCCCTTCAGAAAATAAATTTATTTGAACTTGAAAATAAATTTAAAAAAACGTAGTAAAAAATCGTCAAGGCATCTGAAATTACGCAAAAAACAACCCTACGACCACTATTTATATCGTGCAAAAGTCATAACAAATATATTCCAAATTTACTTTTCTACATATTCAGAGAGTAAAATCTACAGAAAATAGACGGATATAGGGAGACGAATGATTCAGTGATACGCGCCAAAATGATATCGTATCAAATATGCAAAGGCTTTCTTCATGCGTTGATCCTGTGCAATGCTTTCAAGTGCAGTTCTCTGATGTAACAGTTATCTGATGTTACAGTTCTCTGATGCAATAGTTATATTATGTAATAGTTATATTATGTAATAGTTATATTATGTAACAGTTCTCTGATGTAATGGGAGCGTACTCACAGAAGGTGTGCCCTGGCATCTATGTCTCTGTCCACCATCTTCTCCAGTTTGCTCTCCAACTTCTCCCTCTGCTTCCTCTCCTTCTCCAGCAGACTGTGCAGCCTCTTCAGCTCAGGGTCATCCCCCAGCCCACTCCCACTTCCTTGGGCAGTAGTGGGAGACGCGTGGAAGTCTCTGCTGTCTCTAATTGGGATTGTCACTCCGTATAGTTCCTTGTACTTCCTGATTTCCATCTACACGGAACAAAGCATACTCGAATTGGTGCAACTACAATTTTGGTCAGAGTTTTTGGGTTGCTTTCAACGCGATGAAAACAAACACTTGGTCAACACCTTTTCAGACAGCTTATGAATTGTAAAATTCACTAATAATGATTAAGGCAACTTTCAATTACTTTTAATCAAATTTTATTTGCAAGTTGTTGAAAAAAAACTTTCAGCAGAAAACAAAGAACACATCCAACAGACCTTGAAGTGTCAAAGAGCCTATAAGAAAAACGATGAAAAACTACAATATAGTTTTTGAAAATTACAATTTTCTGGTTCCTCAGGTAAAAATATATTCTTTAAGCTTTTTAAATTAACAGAATAACTAATGAACGACACTATTTTATAAAAAAAAATTCAATTTGAAAATATTGTTTTTGAAACTAAAAATTCACGTTGTTTCGCGCCATTTCAACTATTGTCAATCGCAAGTACAATTTGCCTTCAATTTAGCAAATGATCTTGAACTGAAATTAAAAAGAAATTGAAAATCAAACAGATAATTTTTTAAAAGCAAACAACCGTATTAAGTATCTTAAGTTCGTTAATCGACATTTAAGAAGCATGGAGCATTTTTAAAAAGACAGAATAAAGTACAAAGTGAACTACTTTGCATAGAGCAAAGTATTAAATTAACCATTTAGCATGCTTCATTTCAATTTGGAACATCAATAATTTTCAGATGATATTTAGAAAATCCGTGAGGCGACCATTCGTAGCAGGAACAATACGTAATAAGCAACATTTCGTAACAAGCGGCAATTCATAAGAGGATTCAGCAGAGAAAACTTATTCACGCGCAGTATTCCTTTTGTCGTGGATGTAAGCGCAACGGAGCAAACGTATTCTATTTAAAAATACCTTGTTACAAAAAAACCGGAACAATTAAGCTGGCTTCCAAATTATTCCAAATTGAATTGCGGCAGGTTAATTGTTCCAAAAAACCGCGTTACTGAAAAATAAACATGTCAAGGAACCCAAGTAAACAGAACAAAGAATGACCAATTTTAAAGAAAAAAATATATGCCCTTCAAGCCCTTTGATTGTCTGGAACAATTTATGGTTGACACTTTTTTGATAAAAACCAACACAATGAACCCAACTGGATCAATATGTAAATTTTTTATTCCGCTGAGAAACCTGAAACCTAAATTCCACTTTAGAAACTAGAAGTCGACGATGTTGTAGTAACATGTACAATTTCGCTGTTCGATAGTGCAGTTTGTCTTCCTTCTAACAGAGGAAACGAACTGAACTTAAAGCGAAAAAGTGAATTTGAGCCTGAACAAAGTTTCAGATTTTTCCTGAAAAACAATTATCAGCATCTATATAAGAGATCTACATACACACCTATATACGAGCTCATCGACTCTTAAACAAATCAGTTTGTTTTTGACATTGCATGTGATGGATTAACGAGATTCCTACTGTCCCTATCTACCATCCAGCGAAACCACAGCTTTGGAAACGGGCAAAGCCTAATCAGTGGGGAAAGAAGACCCTATTGAGCCGAAAATATTTCAGGCTTTCTCAGCAAGCAAGTCGACTTTCAAGATTTTAAATAAGATAAAACAGATTTTCGAACCTGAATTAACATTGTAAGCCTATATTTACATATATATATATAAGTGGCAAGAATATCACAATCTTCAATCTGCTGGTCCATGTTTGGTCGAATAGACACCAACGAGCAAGAGTTCATGTGGGGTCACTACGCTTTGCTTCTTCTATAATTTTATTAATTATTTTGGCTATTATGATTTATGAAGATTGCGGCCGTTCGAAAGCCGTCTAAATGCCAATGTGGGCAGATTAATGAGCGTTTTCTCCATATTTTCTCGGTTAATTAAGGCGATAAAAAATACTGTAAAAAGAAATCTAGCAAGTTAATTAGTTCAAATGAAGCAGGGCTTTCATAAACACAAACCACATTCAGCTGGTAAATTAAAAACATGAACTTCACCTTTTAAATTGAAAGTCAGGCACCAACTTCACCCAATTTCCAGTATCAACTTGGAAGTGATCTTAACTTGAGTTCAACTGCGTTCACAAACTTATTTTTTTTAAATGCCATGCACCTAAGCGAGAAGTCAAAACTAATAGATTTCATGAGTTCACAGAAGAAAAATCAAAAGACCGTACCACCTAAAAATTCTATGCATCTATGAAAATTTAACGATTATCTTGGTTATCATTACTTTAACGTAAACGTTCATCGAATGACTGAACGCTAGATTCCAATGTGTGATTAGTCCTAAAAATCTGAAAAACAAAATATTCAGATAAATTTCTAACAATCAATTTTTTTGGATAAAATTCATTGTCTTTGGAATCGCATAAAGCAACAATCTTTTTGCCCCCGATATTTAAAACCAAAACACAGAGGCCAGGCGGTGGTTTGCATTACTTGCTAAACAAAAAACATATGTCGGTCGCGTTAAGGAGTAAAAAACGACTAAAAAGATTTAAAAGTTAAGAGAAAGCTCTAATCATTTTTTCATTGTGACTGAGGGGAGAATTAAAAAAATAAAACCAGAAATTCAAACAAAAACTTTCTAAAATCGTTTATCATAATTTTTTCCAAAACATCAGGAAAATTTCCTGACTGCAATAACTTGGACTATTACAGAAATACATTGAAAAATTTTTTAACTACAGTAAAGTTGCGGAAAAAGTCCGACGTTCGAAAATTAGCCATCAAAAATAAGACAAACGATAGGCCTAAAATGATTTAAAGAACAACTCCTGACTGAGTTCAAACTCTGTACTTTTGTAAGGCCAGACATGGACACTAATTCAAGGCCAAACCATTAATTCAACGCAAGGCAGATTAATGAGCGTTTTTCTCCATATTTTCTCGGTTAATTAAGGCGATAAAAAATACTGTAAAAAGAAATCTAGCAAGTTAATTAGTTCAAATGAAGCAGGGCTTTCATAAACACAAACCACATTCAGCTGGTAAATTAAAAACATGAACTTCACCTTTTAAATTGAAAGTCAGGCACCAACTTCACCCAATTTCCAGTATCAACTTGGAAGTGATCTTAACTTGAGTTCAACTGCGTTCACAGACTTATTTTTTTAAAATGCCATGCACCTAAGCGAGAAGTCAAAACTAATAGATTTCATGAGTTCACAGAAGAAAAATCAAAAGACCGTACCACCTAAAAATTCTATGCATCTATGAAACTTTAACGATTATCTTGGTTATCATTACTTTAACGTAAGCGTTCATCGAATGACTGAACGCTAGATTCCAATGTGTGATTAGTCCTAAAAATCTGAAAAACAAAATATTCAGATAAATTTCTAACAATCAATTTTTTTGGATAAAATTCATTGTCTTTGGAATCGCATAAAGCAACAATCTTTTTGCCCCCGATATTTAAACCAAAACACAGAGGCCAGGCGGTGGTTTGCATTACTTGCTAAACAAAAAACATATGTCGGTCGCGTTAAGGAGTAAAAAACGACTAAAAAGATTTAAAAGTTAAGAGAAAGCTCTAATCATTTTTTCATTGTGACTGAGGGGAGAATTAAAAAAACTTTCTAAAATCGTTTATCATAATTTTTTCTAAAACATCAGGAAAATTTCCTGACTGCAATAACTTGGACTATTACAGAAATACATTGAAAAAATTTTTAACTACAGTAAAGTTGCGGAAAAAGTCCGACGTTCGAAAATTAGCCATCAAAAATAAGACAAACGATAGGCCTAAAATGATTTAAAGAACAACTCCTGACTGAGTTCAAACTCTGTACTTTTGTAAGGCCAGACATGGACACTAATTCAAGGCCAAACCATTAATTCAACGCAAGGCCCAGAATTTGAATTCATTATAAATCAAGGCATCAAATAATTCTGTGGTTCTGTTTGATCAGCTGAAAAACTGTTTGTTCCCAATTGGGTAACGCTGCTAATTGTAAACGTAAACACATAGCCAACGTCACAGCTGGAAAAGAGAAAAGAGCGCAAAAAGGAAACAGAAAAAAAATTGACTTGATTTTTGAAAAAACTGTCGGATTTTAAAGAAAAATATATGCCCTTTGAATTTCACAAACAGTTTATGATAAGTGCTTTTTTGATAAAATTAATCCAATAACTGGACCAAATTAACCGATAACTGGACCAAAAGGTAAAATTTTTATTTTGCTGAGAAATCTGATAAATAAATTCGAAATTAGAAGCCGATCACGTTTTCAGTGCCCTTTACATTTTTGCTGTTCTAAAGCGGAGTTTGCCTTCCTTTATACAAAGGAAATGAAGTGAACTTAAAAAGAAATCAATAGTCAAACAGCAGAAAATCAAAATTTAGCATGATTAAATGAAAAAAAAAATCACCAAAACCTATTTAAGACTACTCACTACACTCATTCTCTTAAAAATCCCTGCAAACAAATGATGCTTTCACTCAGACGGAGAAAAAAATCAAAAATTTTTGGCTCCAACTCAATCAGTCTTCTTATGGGTATTGATAACTTTATCAAAGAACGGGAATTTGTGCGGGAAATCGAAACAACAAAGGAATTCAAAAACATCTATTTAGTGCTCACTAACTTACGAAAAATCATTGCGATTCATTCCATTATTGTGTTTTTAAATAGTGGCCAAACCCTCTACATTATTACCTTTAGTTTCATAAATTGGCCAAGCTGCTCATAACTTCCTCTCTGCTTCAATACTCAATAAATTTGAAGACAAGGACTAACTAGTCAGCCCGTGATTGTCAATAATTCAATTTTTAAGTTACCAATTTTCAATTAAAAGAACAGATTTATCAGACAGGACAAGGACAAATGGCTCTAATAATGTCTTTCGTAATATTTTTGCGTCCATTATTTAAAAGTTTCAAAAAAAGTAAGAAGCAATTCATTTTGTAAACACAGCTGCATTAGTCATAAAAACGAAAAAAAAAATGTTTTTTTTTTGCTTTCCCCTTCAACAGAAAACAATTTGCGATTACACGGTGGAAGTGTTGAGATTATTTTCAGCCGTCTCATTGCTTGCACTAATTAGATTGGATTACCTCTAAGTCTGAGATGCGTCTGTTGTACTCTCTCTTGAGACTGTGTTCCTGTTCACTCCTGTCTCTCTCAATATTAGACAACCAGCTGTTCTGCTCGTCCAGGTGCGTCTTCACCTAAAATACACGCACGCATAAAAATACAGAGAGTTGCGAAAAGTGCGTACAGACAGAATGAACTTAAAAGAGGAATCGTACCAGTATGACAGATTTTTGCATGCAATTTTTTTTCAGTCAACCCTGAGACACAAATTCGGTCTGAAAATTAGTTTTGCATTCAAAATAGGTCAATTGCTCTTTTTAGTTTGATTTTTTTGTCCGATTTGTTTGCTGAAAATTATAACACAGAGGCGAAGCTGAGATGGTTAAAATCAAACCGAAAAAAAAATGAGTAAAAAAAACTTCAAAAAGTCAATCAATCAGTTTTTGTCAAAAAGTCCTTTCTACTGAAAACTAAGCAGACAAAAAAGCGGACAGACAATAATCTAAATTAGCCAAAATTTACTATTTGCAATGAAATGAAGTCGAATCATCAAGATACGGGAACCAAGCAGACAAAAAGACGGACGATAACCCGAAAAATCACAAAAACTCTAGTTTGCAAAAAAAAAATGGCCCGGCGGTTTTCGAACCGCAAGCCTTCGCCGTCTCAGGCTGTTGATTTACCTGTACGCCAGATGCGCTGGATGGTTGATTGGATTTGAACTTATAAAATAAAGCTGAAAATACCTGAACAGAAGCCCTTCATGCTGAAAAAAAATCAAAAAATTTCTAAGTTTTTTCCCCTCAGAGCACACACACACACGCTCAAAAACTTTCTGTGGTTGTAACGACGCAATAAAAGGCCTTTAAGTCAATATTAATTGAGCCGAAAATTATTAAGCCAATAAAAAAGAAAAAAAAAGAAAAAAAATGAATTTTTAACAAACGAGAATAGAAAATTACACCCATTGTGAAAATAAAATTTCGATTCGGTCAGATTTTCAAAATGCTTATAGAAACTACACTGAAATTGTTTACAGCTAAATTAAACGAGTCTTCATTGTGGCAACTAAGCCGACAAAACAAGCAGACAAATAATAGGCCGAATTTTTTCTGAACCGTAATATTTACCGTTTGAAAAAGAACTGGTCCTGGTCAGATTCGAGCCCAGGATCTTTGCCGTCCCTAGTATATTCTTTACCACCAGGCTAAGTGCGCAAAAGACACTGCAGAATTTAAATTTATTATGAGCCAAGGTACATCAGGGGTACAATGAGTCCTGTGGACAAAGTTGTTTACTTTGTCCACAGGACTCATTGTACTGCTGATGTACCTTGGCCTTGGCTCATAATGAATTTAAATTCTGCAAGGTTTTTTGCACACTTAGCTTGGTGGTAACGAATACGCTAGGGACAGCAAAAATCCTGGGCTCGAATCTGGCCAGGACTAGTTTTTTTTTTTTTTTAAAAAGTAAATATTGCGGTTCAAAAAAATTCTGGTGGTAACGAATACATCTGGGACGGCAAAGGAAAAAAGTATAGTACCCGATTGTAATACCCTTGTTCATCGCAAGGGTAAACAGTCGTTGTGATGATTTGTGTTTGTGGGTCGTTGTGATTGTAGCAACTGTCAACAAGTTTCAGTTTCAATTGAAAAAAAAAACGCTAAAAGGCGAATAAAAATGACGGTCGTTGTGATGATTTGTGTCTTTTTTATTCGCCTTTAAGCGTTTTATTTTTCAATTGAAACTGAAACTTGTTGGCAGTAGCTACAATGCCCATCAGCCTACTACGAGTAGAACAAAAAACATAAAGTTGCTAATTTCACTTTGCAATTGAGACTTGCCTGTGCCATCTTCTCGTTGAATTCCAGACGACACTGGGCTTCGATCTCCCTCCGGTACTGTTCCAGACTGGCCCACAGGTTACCCCCACCCACTCCCACTCCCACGCCTGCGGCCATGTTGGGGGGAGACATGGTCATTGACTGGTTGCTCAGTTGAGATTGGTTGGCCAAATCAGCGCCTGATAACAAAACAATATATATTTCGTCTTTCGTCATGCATTTAGGTTAGAATATCTTCATTTTTCCCGTGATTTCGACTCCAAGCTCTGTCAAAAATAAAAATAATGCATAGAAGAAACATCACAGTAGTAGGTAGGACAAATAAAACGATAGTTCGGACTACTTTCAACGTATTACGCCTGAAATGCAGCCACTTTGGGTGAACACATTGAGGTGCATAAAATGGGTTAATCTACCCTAAAAAACATAAATGATTCAGAATTTTGAGGCCGGGAAAAGTTTCATCTGCAAAGACCATCATGGCTAATACCGATTCGACCCCCTGACCACCCAAAGGGTCCCTCCTTTGGTGCTATAGTTAGGACATCCATTTTCGGATTTTTCTAAAGGCGCCTTTGGCGTCATTACAAATCGAGGCGCGCGCCAAAAAAAACTTTTTAGTTAAAACCTTCCAAAAGAGCCCAATTACGGCTTTTTTTGGTAATTTTTTTTTTGAAAATATGCCAGCGGCCATGAAAACTTTGATCAAAATTTTCAAAATTCTCTAAAAACCTAATCCTCCCCGTTCAATCCCAGTTCTTATAGGCCGATCCCCGTTTTACACATAATAAAGTTATATATTGATGACACTAGTGTCTGTTTTGTTATAAAAGAAACCATTTATCAAAAAATTAAATCAAGCAAAATTATTCGAGTTACAAAAGAAATTTTTAACTTAAAAATAACAAGCGACGAGATCTGACTGATTATTCTCCTAATAAACAACGTCGCATGCCACTAGATTATTTATGTATTTTGTAGAAGTTATTCTGGCATATTTAGACCACATGACAAATTTCCCCCATAAATCTAGACATAAAAATGGCTTATAAAACTCCATTAACTCACTGAAGTTTCATTTTTTGACTTATTTACGACCACTAAAGCTCCGCTCCAGCTCTAAATAATTACACAAATCTTGTGACCTTTGTCCGAAACATCTACTGTGATTTATGACAGCAGTCATTCCTTTAAACCATTAACCTCAGTTTATAAAGAATAGAAAGGCTGCTAGCTTTCATTTCACTGATGATGCTCAAAAGAGTGCTGAAATATCACCTGGGCCTCTAAATAACTATCCAGCCTATAACTAACAGTTTCTATTTTAGAACCAAACAAATTAGGTCAATTTTCATGCTGAGGATAGAAAATGCCAAAAATAGGACCCAGTGTTTCCGTGTAAGGTATCAATGAGAAGCACAAATGTCTGAGATGTTCTGAGTTATAGGCAGCATGGGTGGATATAGGGCTCTCAGAAGGGGGAAGGGTTATGGATCAAGCCGACTAAATAGGTTTTCCGATCTTTCATTTAGAGCCAAAAAAGACAAGTAGCGATGATAGCGCAAAAAATCGATGTAGCAAAAAATTGTAACTCTAGCAGTGCTATAGGTTACGTCCACCTTGTGTGCGGCGTTCAATTTTTGATCCAAGTCAATACAGGTCGAACTATCAGTGTTTGGCACAAACCATTAGTTGTCAGCGTGGATAAATCAAAAGTTTATTGCTTCATATTTTTTTAAATATTTTTTTTATTTATTTCGCTGGGAAATTTGATAGTTTAATTGTACTTTCAAAACTAGGGGTCGATCATGTTTTTCGTGACTTTTACACTTTCGCTGTTCGATAGTGGAGTTTGCCTTCCTTTTAACAAAAGAAATGAACTGAACTTCGAAAGAAATCAAAGTCTAAAAAATTAAATTTGAGCCTGAAAATTTTTAAAAACTTTTACTGAAAAAAAAAACAAAGAAAAATCATCACGACCTATATGAAAGTCTGAATTACGTTCATTAACCAAGGGTCCTCAAATTTAACAACAATTAACCATAGTGGTTTCTTGTTCTCGTCCGATCAAGTAATCGATTTTTGCTGAAACGGGCGGTAGATGTAATTTGTTAGTTTGTTTTGTTCACAACTCGACTGTGCATTGAAGATGAGTGAGAGTAAACAAACCAGCCGAAGTATGAACCAACCGAAAATGCCCTAAGTATGTGAGCGAGCCGAAAAGTTACATCAAATGAAAGAATTTGCATAACTTAGGTAACTGTTAAATACTTGTTACATAACTATTATACACAGAGGAGAAGTTGCACTTCGCATACAGAAGCAAAATATGACCGATAACGCTACTGGGAAAAACTGAATGAGTAAAACTTTGAGTCTACATGATTTCTTAAGTGACGCGCTCCAATTATGAGTCCACATAATTGCTGAGTGACGCAAGTCAATTATAACGCGTTAGCAGTACCAATCACTTTGAAAAAAGAAAATTACCAACTAACATGCCTCAACTTATAGAGCGGACGCATTTGAACAAGTATACGAAAAAGTTCAATAATAACATCCGACCCTGCCCAGGTTCGAACCCTCTTAATTTTTTGCGAGCCTCCTTCCCTGCCTCTACGCTAGAGATCCATGATACTTCAAGCTAAAGTGCTATTTGTAAAATAAAAATCTGTGTTAATATCCTTAGCATTGGCTGTACTTAATAGCTGCTTATTGTTCCGACTTTCGATACGAAAGTAACGGAATATTTGTGCTCGGGGTAGGTTTTTTTTTCTTCAGACAAATTTCGACTTTTTAACTAGCCATTTTTGACGGATTTTTTTTAATATCATTCAAAAGGTATTGTTGTCCTGAGCTTAAATTTGAAACGATATTTCACCTGTGATCTTTTTTCGTAAAGTTATGAGGGTTTAAAGATTACCATTTTGGCTAATTTGGGACAATTAACGCGCGATATATTTCGCGCTATTAACGCGTAAGCGGAGAATTAATCCGTCTTAGAAATAGTTCCAAATTGGTTGAAAGAAGCTTACTTGCCATAATTGATTTGTTACAAGGAGCGAAATATATTCTCTTGTAGTTTATATGGCGTAAGGGGGATGATTTTCATGGAAAAAATTTCAAATTTTAGAAAAAAAAATTTATTTTATTTTATTTCATTTAATTTTTTTATGTTATTACTGCTCCATAAACCTTAAAAGGCAGTCGGAACATTCAGGGCTTCGCCCTGATACGAGCAGTCTTGTTGATCTTATGCACATACTGCAATAAGAGAACACTTTCAAATTGAACACTAATATTTGCGACTTAGGTTGGAAAAAAAGAGAACTCTTCTTTTGTGTTGCCAATTGCGGCATTGTCGATAGATATTTTAGCAGCTTGCCTACGCGTATTCTGGCTATCGTTCGCTTTCGCAAAAACTGCTTCCGATGAACTAGGATATGCAAACTTCTTCTCAAATTTAATCACAGGTTGCCGGACAAGCGCAATTGTGAAGTGAGAAATCCGCCACAAACTCGGAGTGAAGTGAAATTAATTGCAATAAATTTTTGTGCGTATAATTAAGTTCATTGTTTTCTGATGGAAAAGTCAGTTTTGCATTCGCCAATTAATGGTTTAACTTCCCAAGATCTCTAATTTTAAAACCTACATAATCCTCTAATTTGTCAAAACTTATTATAATTGCAAAACGACGAACAACTCTCCAAAAATTACTAATAAGGTACTAATAAAAGATACTAATAAGGTTTTTGCAGTTAACCCTGTTACGAAGCAGGTTAGATTGGAGGACTTATTTTGTATTTCTTTTATATATATGATTTTGAATGGGACAAAAGGTAATTTTGATTAGTTACAGCCCCAATTAATACACTCCTCTTTTGAGAATTAGTTTAACTCACAGCTCTAATTAGTTGAGAAAAGAAAACAAAAAACTCATTTTCCATGAACTCATTAATTACTACTTCAAATCGGTATTAGTATATTATATAGCATCATCCAATCACCATTCATTCGCCGTAGTTTATTCTGATAATTTCCTTAACTCCTAAACCATGAATAGCTTCCTCACGTCAACGCAAACTTGCTCATGATCACATAAAAAGCAAACAACTTCACCGATTTTTCAGAACTTTGAAGTTAGTGCTTCGCAACACTGATTAAAAATTCAACAGTAGCTCTCTGCCTCTAATTGGAACATAGTAGCAAGCTGAAAGCTAACTTGACTTTATGTTCCAATGAAAGCCACTAACGATTGAATTCATCACTTGATGGAATAAAGACTGTTTTTTAAGCAGAACTGTTTTTAAAATAATTTTAAATGAGAAGAAAATCATGCGCTTAGTTTGGATTCATCATCAGCTTCCAGCTATTACTACATTTATTCAATCCATAAAAGAAAAATTGATCTAATAAGCCCAAATAATGACCAAGGAAAAATAAATTCTTGAAGGAAATTTTGATGTGTTTTTCTCATTCCAAGAAGTGGTGCGAAGTTGACATCAACTTTAAAAGTACAAACTTTTAAAATCCCTTAGCTTATGCTCAAAATGATAGACAAACTGCATTCGCCCCTGGCATTTGTCATTCGATCACCAAAAAGAAAAAATCTGAAAAAAAAACAAAATACTCAAAAGACCATTTTTCTCAAAAATGAGAAACTTTGTGGGAAAATTGTCATTGCACGTGAAATCCCGACAATTTCTTTTATTATTTGATCAATTCATATCATCTGGCGGTTGACTGTATTATCAAAGTATGCTATGAAAAAATGGAGGTGGTCGAGTGGGTAAGACGTACATCTCTCAGCAGGAGAGTCATGGTTTCAAATCCCACTTCGCTCTTGGTCGGAGAGTTCCCAATGTCAGTGGGCAGGGACGAGGGCTTTAAAAACGCGTAAAATATATCAGAATTTCAAGTTCCTCCGCTCTCTATGGCCGAAACAACCAATTTTTATATCAAGCCAAGCAAATATTGAAAGCTTTCATCGCCCCATTAAGAAGTTTCCAAGAAACAGTCAGTGAAATTGAGGTCAGCCCAACCCTCAAGGAACTATCAGTGCGAATTTACTTAAAAATTAAGATTTTGCATCGCAATAAAATGTTGATTGATTTCTTCTTTAATTAATATTCATTAGGAACTTACTCTTAAATTGAATTAATTCGAAAACTTATCTTCTTGCCACTTCCAATCCTACAGATTAATGCTGAAATTTGCTTCGATTTTCTTTATCTGAGGTATCTGTCGGCTTCATATGACTGAGGCGCTAACCTCTTTTGCTTTACCTGTTTGGACTGGGTGAGTGGGCGGTTGGTGATAGAGATTGGGAGCTGCTGATTGGTTCAAATAGGGCTGCTGTGATTGGTGAAGAGCATTATTCGCTCTCTTTGCCTCAATTTCATTCTCCAGTCCTTGCAGCTGAAACAAAAAAAGATAATTCATCTCAAAAAATTGTACTTTCATGCTCGCTATGATATGCTAGAAAGCTTGGATTAAGGTTTAAATTCAGAAGCAAAAATGAGTAAAGCCTACTCAGAGATTATTTATTATTTTCATTATGAAGTGGGCAGGGTTGTAAAATTATCGATATAGATATTATCGGAGTCATTCGATAGATTATCGTTTTGTCATACTTTTTAAAGATAGATATATCGATATATCGAAAATTATCGCTCGAAAAAAAACTGCAGCTGAACTTTTTAATTCACAATTTTTGAAAATGAAGTAACATTCCAAAATGATTTATTGGAAAACAGTAGACTGGAAGCGAAATATTTCAGTTAAATTGCTAGATTTCGGTAAAATTTGACTATAAAAGTTATCGGAACGATAATTTTTTTCAATCGATAATTATCTCGATAATTTTTTTTCGAACGATAGATTTTATCGATATATCTTATCGGCGATTATCGGATTCACAATAATCTTTTTTACACCCCTGGAAGTGGGAAAATCTAGTTCATTTTCATAAAACTTCGCAAATAGGATAGCGCTAAAAACAGGAAAATTAAGTCACCGTCAGTCAATTCACCCACAAAATACCAACAAACTTTTTCAGTTTAAGGCCCAAATCAAGATTTCTAAATCCTTTTTATAAAATATTACTCCGACTTCAGAAGGCAGTGAGAATAAATTATGCTCTCATTTTTAAGTGAAGATCTATTTTGTTACATATAACTTAACTAATAACTTGTCGAGAGGTAAACTTAACTCACTTATGTGCTCGCAAAATTAAGCTCAACGGCTTCTTTGTTCTATAAAAATAAAAGAGACAGCGAACCCAATATAGAAACTCTGACAATTCATTTTCATCAATAATAAATAAACCAATTTCTCTTTTCACTTTTTAAACTGACAGTCTCTCTTTACTTTTTGCAATCAATTTTAAGATCTAGCTGTTCCCCGTAGATTTCGTAGTTCTTACAGAAAAATAAATTAATTCATTTCAATAATTAAAACCCTCGAAACAAAAAATGGAATTGATCATACCCGTTGATCATATTTCGTTATATAGTTCCTGTCAAAGCAATCTTCTGTTAAAACAATTATGCGGGACTGACATCATTATTCACAATAGTTAATCATTATGCCTCAGTTCTAAAAAACTATGGTCCACTTATTCATGCATAATTAGTTTGAGACCTTCGCCCATCAAAAAAGAAGAGAAAATTCTAATTAAATTGAAAGGAGGTCTTCATTAGACAAGCAAATGACACCTTTTTGTTATGAAATCTTGACTGTTAAAGAGGACAAAAGTACAATCTGTAGAAAATGTGAAAATGTCACGATATAGTTCATTTCAGCTATTCGAGTTGAAAATGAGAGAATAATGAGACAAGTGGCAATGGTGTTGCATGAATTTCGATATTCCCTCCCATTTTAAAAAACAACAATACATGCCCAAATGAAAAAACAACTGCTCGAAAATTGTTCGAATCAAGCCAACCGCGCCATGAAAGAAACTGATTTGTGAAAAAATTATGTTTCCCAACCACTCTCGACGAACAAACTACGACATTCGTAAAATGATGAAACAGTAAAAAGGCTTAGGACCATTCAGTACCTGCAAGGTTCATCTCAAATATTTTCGCCCGTCAGCTATTTAACAAACCTTTTTATTCGATCTCTATCTATTAACATCATCCTTATGGAATAATTCAAAAAAGCACACAGCCCGCAACCTAATAAAGACCTTAAATCGTCATAATCATAACGCTCTCAATTTAGAGCCAAAATGTTAAAATTTAGAATCTCTAATTCACCCAAGCTTAATTAACCAAACAGCTACCCAAAGTCAACCATCAACATGGCTTTCGCTCGATGCACTCAGCCGCTACGGCATAATCAGTCTAAGATTTTTTAGCAGTGAAAAGTTAAGTCAGCAAAGACCTCCCAGTAGAACAGTTTCGGTCACGCTTGACTTATCTAAAACTCACTTTCCACATGGTCTGTCATCAAACTCTTAGACCATCTTTATGACACCAACAAACGGGAACCTTCATCTGATGGTAAATGTTGTATCATTTAAAAGCGCTTTTGGTCGTGCTTAGGATTTTAAACATTTTCCAAAACTTTCTCTATGTCGAGAAAAACTGATCTGAGTTTTTTTTCAGATTGAACTTTGATGAGAGGCTGACCGGTCAAATTTTTTCAATAAATGTTTCGCTAGCATTTGAGATTAATTACCTACAGTTAGCACCCTTTCTTACACTTTTGACTTTTTTCAACTGCCCTTTGAAAAAAAAACAACAGGAAAATTAGAAAACAATGATGGCAAAAAAACGTCCCTAAGAAAATCTAACCAAACATGAATTGGATTTCTTAAAACAGTTTGATCGGAAGCAGTTAACTTGGGGCAATTCTTTTCGCTGAAAAAAAAAACTTAATTATATCATAAATGCATCAAATTACATTTTTCGAGATTCAAAAGTAAAGAGCAAGTTCTTCCATCTATCCATTTTTTAATAGATAATTGTTTTAGAAAATTTAGAAATTGAACAAACGTCAGGTTGTGGCAGAGCAATAGAAGAATCAACAGGGCAACAAGCTGCACCAATCGAAAAAATAAAGTTGCAATTCCAGTTTTTATCAACTTGATTAGATGAACAGAATCGAAGTTTTTAGGGCATAACAGAGGGAAATTTTTTGTCTTTGTTTCAGCGTGCTAGAAAACCTATAGCTTTCATTATACTAAATGAATAGACAAAAAATCCAAAAGAAGGATAACCCGTTGCTGTGGAAGTAGGTAGCACAGAAGGTTCCTAATAAGAAAATAAATTAAGAACTTCAATTTTTGTGGAAATTTAAGATTTTTGTGTGTTTTTGATCGATTAGCTATGAGCGGATAAGAAAAACTCCAAATTTGAAAATATTGTAAAAACAAGGCTGAAGTTTTAATTTTTTTTTCAGGATTTTCCACTTAGTGACTATCCATTTAGCAAATGATTTTGAAATAATTTTTCAAAAAATCAAAAATCAAACTAGAGCGTGAACGAATTTTACCTATAAAAGAAGAACAAACATAGCCAACTGACAGTTGGAAAACAGAAATGAACGCAAGGAAACAGAACAAAAAACTGTCTTATTTTTTGAAAAAACTTCAACTTTTGAATTTTAAAGAAAAATATTTTGCTTTTAGAGCTCTTTAAATTTATGACTAAAGCTTTTTTATAAAACTAACCTAATTTAACAAAACTGGATCTAAAGGTAAAATATTATTTCGCTGGGAAATCTGATAATTGAATTCCATTTTTGAAATTATAGGTCGATTACGTTTTTTGCAGTTCGATAGTGGAATTTGTCTTCTTTTTAATGAAGTGAATTTGAAAGAAATCAAAACTCAAACGGAAAAATCACGTGACCAAATACGTTACATAACCCACAGAAATGTGACAAGGTTTCACATAGCTCAAGGAAACCGAAAAACATTGTAATCATTGTTCAACTTTATATCTTCGAAGAAAAAAACACCCCGTTAAAGCACATAAAACTAACACAATTAGAGAATAATTTGGAAGATTTTCCTTGAAAAAAATCCCTGTGTTAATTTACAGTCATTAACACGAACCATAGACACAAAGGGTGAGACGGGCAAACAAGAAACCATGACAAAGCCAACTGTCCAAGCTGCTCTAAGTTTTACAAACCATCTAATCGTAAAAACCACGCGCTCTTCAAATCCGCAAGCCCACATTTTAAAATTAGCACGAAGATTGAGACGAGTTAGGCTGAAGATAACTGGGATTATAAAAAAAATTTATTGCTCGTTAAAAATTACATTCAGTTTTTAACTTCAATTATGCGCGAATTTTGCGCCACTACAGCATCTGATATTGAAAAGGGTAACTTGATTTGAGTTCCTTTTGAACATGGATTTGAAAACGATCTTTAGATAAAGTCGACATTCTACTATTGCTCTAAGCATTAAATAACTTTATAACTCATTCAAAAAGCAATTTCACCATTAAGCAATTTAAAAAAGGGCTGACTTGGCGCTCAAATGCATTAACTGTTTTTTTATTACTCGATGTACACAAATTGTACACAAAGGCGAGGGGGAGCTTCGCGCTACCTGCCATAGTCAAATTTAAGCTGATACGAAAAACGGGAAAAAAATCAAGAAAAAAAACTATTTACCAAATATTAAAAAATGCATCGTGTTGGCATAATATTCGCTGACAACATCTAAAAAAACCCAATAGAAGCATTGTGTAGTTTAACAGAGGCATATATTATGCAATAAACACATATGTAGCTGAATCATAAAAATACGATTAACAAATTTTGAATATAAATACGATATCTTGATATCATGATTTCAGAAATTGTTTCACACGACAATCACAACTCTGACATAGCAATTGGCAACAAAGCTTGAAACCTAAAGCTAATAAATAAAAGATTTGAAAAACACTTTTCTCGAAAAAAAAATTTTGAAATAAAGAAAAAAAATTTGGAGGTAAAAAATATATATATATCAAAAATGCTTACTTTGTCCAGATCGAATCAAGAACGAACAGAAAAAATAGGATATGCCGATTGAAGTGAACAAAAAACCCACTCAGAGTGAGAAAACGACAAAAGGTAGCTCTAAAAACGTGAAAGAAAGAAAAGAGGTAAATGAAACCCCAAATCACAACTAAAAGTGTTTTATTATAGAGCCACAATTACTTTATTCGAGATTCAGAAAAAAAACACCCTAAGCCATAGTTCCTCCCCACCATTTGTAGTATGAATTTGGAATCGAATTGTTAATCAAAATGCAAACATTATCAAAATATGCTTTGCCAGTTCTGTTGGGAGCCCGAGGCCTCATAAGATGAGTCCTATGAACAAATGTTCTCACGGGGAAAGTCTAGAATGGAGGTTTGATTACGGTAACAAAACTATTTGATAAAGTTGAACAAACAAAACTACAA